ATTTCGAAATATTATTCCAATTTTGGTAGATGTAAATTAAATGTACTTACAGGAAAGCATAAGTGGATTTATTTGAAATCTGATTTTTTCTGGCGTACAGTAAACCTTGTAAATAAGAAAAGTTTGTACCAGGCCTTTTATCTTGGACTTCATATTGGACTACAGTGTATTAACAGTTGTTTTACATATCTGTTCAATGTTTAATAACAATTTTATTTGTGATTTTCTTTGGCTTATAATTAATTCCTTTGTAAGACTGCACATTCTGGAAAACTTAATTACTAGGTTATGTTAGTATGTTAAACACTGTCCAATGCGTCATACCTCTAGTTCCAAAAAGACTGCGCAGTCATTGCGTCTTTGGCAATTCAGATAAATTGGTTAAATACATATATACCTACAGTGAAATTTAGAAAATGTCTGACCTAATAGGGGTCAACAACTGCATATTTATCTAGCTTAGTTGTAATTTGGAAAACATCCAGAACTATCCATACTATAATAGTATTCAAACATATTATTATGAAAGAAAAAGGAATACATTTACTCCTAAACTGTGGTAGTGTCTCAAAACCATTCAGGAAAACTGAACTGGACTGATTAATGGGGTTTTATTGTAGATGTTCCTGTATCTGATATTAAGAAATTAAAAATTAAAAAAAACCAACATCACAATATACACTCCCTCGTCATCGGTTTAAGCTCTGATTAAAAAAACCCCCATCAAAACATGAACATAATCCACGCTTGATGTGTGTTGATCATGAGACACCTACACATGTATGTATGGTACGTATACACAAAAGGTAGTCACAGGTACAATAATAATACACCCCCAACATGTCGGAGTGATCATTAATATTACTCGACATTAAAATACTCCAAAAACAGATATTTAATTGACACCCCAAAAACAGATATTTATTTGACACCCCAAAAACAGATGTTTAATTTACAAAAAATTACCTCTCTACCAAAATGGGAATAACATTTCAAAATTAAGCTAGTAGATGTAATATATAACATTTAAATTTCGAAATGTTATTCCCATTTTGGTCTATGTAGATTTATTTGAATTCTGAAATTTTCTTTCCTACCATTAAACTTGTAAATAAGGAATGTTTGTGAAATTGTACCAGGCCTTTTATCTGAGACATGCAGAAAATAGTACCGGTACACGTACAGGTGATTGTCTTTAATTATTTTAGGCAATTGTAGACAACAGAGAAAAGTCGACACAAGAGACATGAGATGATCATGACTGCTACAGTTTGTGTACGTTGTGTGTCCACATGTCATTGTTTCTGTATCTAAAAATATCTCCTCATTGATGACAGGAATATATATACCTCTTCATATTGGACTATTAACATTTGTTTTACATATATATCAGTTCAATGTTTAATAACAATTTTATTTGTGGTTTTCTTTGGCTTAATTCCTTTGCACTTTCTGGTAAACTTAATAACTATGCTTTGGCTATTCAAATAATTTGGTTAAATACCTAGTGAAATTTAGAAAATGTCTGACCTAATAGGGGTTAACAACTGCATCTTTATCTAGCTTAGTTGTAATTTGGAAAACATCCAGAACTATTTTCATTTTATAAAATGTAATAATATTCAAACATATTAATATAAAGTAAAATGGAATACGTTTAAACTGTGGTAGTGTCTCAAAACCATTCAGGAAAACTGAATTAGACCGATTAATGGGGTTTTATTGTAGATGTTCCTGTATCTGACATTAAAAAACAAGAGGCCAATGGGCCTTAACAGTCACCTGATATATTTATACAGAGAGTTGATTTTGTTTTTAACATGAACAGAAATATTATTCAAAGTGACAAAAAACAATAAAACCACCTTATTCAAATTTCAGACTAAAAAGTATTTGAAACTAGCACCTCTGATTCTAAACAAGGAAAATGAAGAAATTTTAGCACACTGACTCCTTTGAGCCCCACCCTACAGCCCTTGGGGGTAGGGCTGGCTCAAAATTTTCAAAGTATCAAACTGTCAA